TTGGCCCCTTTTTGGCCCCTTATTCCTAAATGTTTTGGGCAATTACCCCCAAACTCAATTCCAGCTTTCCCTTTGTGATATGGAACCTTGTAGTTCAATTTCAGAAAGATCCATACACTTACACACAAGTTATTATCATGAAACTAGAAAAATGCTTGTTTTTTGCCCCTTTTTTGGCCCCTAATTCCTAAAATTTTGAGGCAATTACCCCCAAAACCAATCCCAGCATTCCCTTTGTGATATGGAAACTTGTGGTACAATGTCAGAGAGATCCATACACTAACACACAAGTTATGTCTGGAAGTTACAAAAATGCTTATTTTTGGCCCCTTTTTGGCCCATAATTCCTTAACTGTTGGTACCATAACCCCCAAAATCAATCCCAACCTTCCTTTTGTGGTATTGAACCTTATGGTAAAATTTCACAGAGATCCATTCACTTAAACTAAAGTTAGAGTGCGAAAACCAATGTGTCTTCGGACGACGCCGGACGACGCCAGACGACGACGACGCCAACGTCATACCAATATACGACCAAAAATTTTTTAATTTTTGCGGTCGTATAAAAACGATTAGTTAAGACATCTGCAAAGGACAGACAATAAAAAATTCTATTAGAGCAAAGAAGTCCTGAGAAATTCAAGAAAAGAAGATAGTATGACTTTTTTACTCATATAAGTAAATAAACTGCTTCGCTGAGCGCAGCTGGATACGCCCGCAGAGGTCCAACCCTGAACAGTTGGGGCTAAAATGGACACAATATTCAAGCTTGATACAGGTCTGAATTTGGATTGTATTAAATATTTGACATATTATAGGTTTCTGAATAAATGTAGTCAAAGAACTTGAAATTGGTTATATGAATTGAATTTATATTCAATTAAAGATTTCTTGTTGTTGTGCAATACACTGTGCTGTTGCGCAATACTTAGTAAATCTGTTGTCAGACTATAAACAATTAAAGTTCAATTAATTCTCAATGTCATATTAGAAATTTATGAAAATGTAAAGGGAGCTTACATCAATAGATATAAACAATTCACTAAAGTTTCATGAGAATTGCTGACAGCATTTTTGAGTTATTGTCTGAAAACTGGAAAATCCCCCCTTTTTTAATGAATAAAACCCCATAACTCAGAAATGTAATAAGTAAAACTTATAAAATTCTAAACAGAGCTTACATCAATAGATATAAACAATTCACCAAAGTTTCAAAAGAACTGCTGAAAGCATTTTTGATTTTTTGTCAGAAAACTGGAAAATCCCCCTTTTTTTATGAATAAAACCCTGTAACTTGGAAACATAAAATCTGAAATATATAAAAATCGAAAGGGAGCTCATGTCAATAGATATAAACAATTCACCAAAATTTCTTGCAAGTTGGTGAAAGCATTCTTGAGTTATTGTCCGGAAACTGGAAAATCCCCCTTTTTTTAATGAATAAAACCCCATAACTCGGAAACGTAAAATCTAAAATTTATAAAAAACGAAAGGGAGCTTAGGTCAATAGATATAAACAATTCACCAAAGTTTTATGCAAATTGGTTAAAGTGTTTTTGAGTTAATGTCCGACATGTTGACGACGGACGGACGGACAGACGGACGGACAGACGGACAACGGTATACCATAATACGTCCCGTAAACGGGCGTATAAAAAAATCTGAATGTCTAAGGGATATAACTAAGCCAATAAAATAATTTACCTATACAAGGAAATAAAATACACTTGTATAAGTATCTTACAAATTTACTTATATAAGTATATTAATATTTACTTCTTCAAGTAAATAAAAATAACTTGTACAAGTAATACCCCTGACTGAACATCGCTGTCATGAATAATAAAGATGAAAATGAATTTTGAGATCCTTTGGGAATTTTCTCCCAAAATTGGGAAAAATGTAGGGTTTTTGCCATTGGGAATGGGTCCGAATACCGGACCCTGTGGAATGCTAGAATAATCCATGGTTTTTATTGGTCAAGAAAGCTGGAGTGCCAGGAGAGAACCACCGACTTTCAGCAGGAAAACTGGCATTCATAGTCAAGTCAAATGCACTGGCCACGTTGGGGATTCAAACTCACAACCTCTGTTACAGTAGTTGAACTTCTTAAACCACTTGGCCACCAAGGCCCCTTGGAACGATTCAGAGCTCAATACATTTGTATATTGTAGTGACTATTGTCTATTATTGAAGATTGTATGTTGACCTCTAGATCTCTTTTGATAATGTGTTGGGTTGCAGCATGTCTCATTGACATATTCCTTGCATCTTCTTTTATTGATAACGATTAAAGGAAAGTATGTTCATGAAGAACCAACAAAGTGAGATATTTAATTGTTTAAAATGTAACTATCAACATTTCTATTAACAGTCACAGCCTGTGTATCAATATATATATGAATATGTTTTGTCATTACACCAAAAGGTCTGATGAGTACTTTAAACGGCAAAAAAAAACCACCCCACTTTTCAAAATAAATTCATAGAAAATAAATATTAAATCTTGTATTGTTTAAATTGAACATCAAATTTCCAAAAGCCCTAAAATTCTGCAAACTTTTTGGGCCTGTAACATATGTACAACATACACAATGTATCACTGTCCAGCTGCTCCCCAAATATGAAGTCATCTGGTCATAAAGACATTATGGCCATTCAGGAGTGTGCAGCACTTGATCCGAGAATTTTTGACACTTGATGGATGGAAGGGTGGCTTTTTAACCATGAAGGGCAAATTAAATATTCAGGACATGTTAATGCGAAAATATGAATCATGCTTTGTACTAGACCCCACATACTGAGCTGGATTTTTAACATTCTAGGTCACAAGGTCTGAGTAATCCCACTCAAATACTTGCTCAGCAAAGAAGCAGCAAATGACAATTTTAAAGTCTTAAAATGAATTGATATGGCGGGGATCAAACCAACGACCTCTGAGTCTAGTACTCAAGGCTAGGAAACTATTACGTCAAGACACCGTATGAACATCTGATGTCATATAATAATCACATATTTTCTTGACATTAAATTTTATAAAAACGCCTGCGCTGTTCAGAAACGGCAGATAATAGCAATATGGTGTATGCTGTTCTTCTTCTCTGGATCTTTACACCCTTTATAGGGTAACCATACATTCGTATGTCGACCAGTTCCACCGCCAAAAAATAAACGAAAAAATAAACTAACAATCATAACACAACAAAATTATATACACTATTTACATTAGGAACTTTTAAGTTTTTATGACTTTTTACATGGGAAGATTACTTTTACATGGAAAGTTTACAGTTTTTAAGACTTTTTACATGCGAAGTTTAGAATTTTTATGATTTTTTGCTTCGAACAGTCTAGATTATTTTGGTCTACTGATATTTAATGTAATAACATTTACAGATTAAATCACGTTTACTTTTTAGATAATTCACAAAAAGAAAAAGACAAAATTTATGGTCTGTGACCTTTAAGAATACACCTTTATATCTTTGAAGTTAATTTGACACTAATTTATTTACTGTGTATTATGAGAGTAAATAGAAAAGTTATGCTTTTAAAACTATTTAAAGTTAATTCGCAGAATATTTATTAACTGAGACTTTAAGATTTAATAAGAAGAATTATACTTTTTAAAAATTGTATTAAATAGACTAGATTTTCAATTATTTATTTAATTATTCATTGCTGCCCCTCCCATCCTTGCACCCACTCTCAGGCATCCTTTTTCTTTGCTTGGTCTTTCATCACCAGTTGATATCGTGCATTGTGTACAAATGTATGAGGAACAGTAGCCTTCCTGATTGGAATTCTATTTGAGACATCAGGTCAGATGAGACTCTGTATATCTTTTGTATTTATGTAATGTCCATTAATACTTGAATTGTCATTTCACATGCAAGGCCTTCAATAACATTTTGCTCACCAGACATACATATGTCTCCTACATGCAAATCCATGATAGCATTACCCCTGGTCTTTCTATTGCTTTTTACTAGATGATGGAATAGTTTTGCATCCTTTGTTCTTGTTTCTATTATGCGTTGTTTCTCAGTATCTTTGACTTTAGCATTTTCAATTCCCACCTGTCGCCTAAGTTCCTTTTTAGTTCTCAGTCTTTGTTGGTATATATTATTTTCAGGGTCCCTTATTTTTCCTTGCTTGACCCATTGCGCATAATATTTACGCATCTCATCTAGGGCTAACTTTATATCTGGAGACCATACATTCAGTTTCGGTTTTGCTTTGTACCTAGGCTTGTTTGAGGCACATGTAACTGCTGCATCATTTAGAAATCCATGCACCTGCTCTAAGACGGATGTAGCTTGTTCTAATGTATCTAGAGGCATGTTGAGTATAGAATCTGAATGTTCATTTGTCATGGCTACATATATCCTCGATGATTGGAAGTTCGTTACCCTAACTCTAAACGGAAGAAAAAATTCACAACCTTGGAGCAAATATTATCCACTGTGAATGTAAATATTCTTTACTTATTTGCAAACAGTCTAATACACTTAATTGATAAATAGCTTCAGAAACATGGTCAATCTGTCTATGTTTCGTATTGTGAACAGATTCCATAAAATAAGTAGACATGCTTGTAGTTCATGACCTTTGTCTTGGACGGTGGATTTTGCACATGTGCAACAATATATAGGTCAGGCCTATTGTATTTTGTACAAATGTATTTGAACATTACAGAAAAAATTTGAGATCAAATAACAAATGAATATCTCGAAAAAAAGAGAAATTGGGCCGGATATACTAACTTTTTTATTCTCCCTACAACAATTATTCTAATTTTTACACGTGACTTTCAATGGTCAATTGGAAAGTCCAGAATTAAACACTTTAAACATGTAAAGACAAGGTTATTGAAACATAACCACCTCTCCCAGGGAATATTTCCCCTCTTGTTACTGGGGAAAGTGTTATATAAATGTGCAGCCCCCTTTTTTCTCTTTTTAGCTGTTTTTTTTGGCTTCAAATTCAATTTAGCTTACCTGATATAGTTTTGAGGTGAAGAATTAAAAATTAAAAATATCATTAGAAGTTATTATTCCTAGAAACTGTTTTTTGAATGTCAAATACCATTCTTGATTTTTAGTTTATATAACAATAATGCACGTTTGTAACGGTAAAGGCGCATTAAGGGAGATAATTACTCCAGGTCTGAAATGCAGCATGCAAATTTTTTATTTATTGTTTATTTTTTTAACTTAATAATATTTGTGACATGTTGTTATGAATCAAACATCAATTTATTTTATATTTTTTTTTTTATTATTTTCAACATTTTTTAAATGTATAAATTTATTGTATAACAAAATATGATAAATTCCATGGAGTGTATCTATTTGTAAAGGAAACTGGTTTAATAGTGTTAGGTACCAGATTGTTGTTATGAAAAACTTCTGACTTAGACTGTAAACAGTAACGGTCAACATATACAAATGAAATGCCTTTCAGATCACTATTAAGGTATATGTCATCATAATATTATTATTTATTTTTTTATTTTCAAACGATATATTCGTTAAAAATACACAGAAATGATTGGAAATAAGACGTTTCGGCACAGACAGGTCGACCTTCCCATGGATAGAAACAAGTGTCTGTGCGTTTCGGCCATGGAACCAGTTCGGCCATGGTCGTTTCGGCCACGTACTACTTTGGCCATGTAATTTAAAGTCATTTCGGCTTCACTTTTATTCAAATTTAAATGAAAATGTAGTTTTTACATCTATTTTTTTTTAAATAATTCTATTAATAACATACATCTCCCCATCTCCTTATTTTTATATGTACAGTGTAACATTAATTTTCATAGTTGAGTTAATTAGTAAGATTTATTTACTTTGAAGTTGTAATAGGTAAGGTTTCAAAAGAATTATTGTCTTAAAGAGTGCTATAGTCCCAAGCTGTTCCCAAGATGCTAAAATCAAACATTCAATTTCATAACTAATTTTCAACTCGAAATGTATATGATATGTAGAAACAAGTACCAATCCCATTAATTTTATTGATAGAAATAGACATTACCATAAAGATTTATATTGGGCCGAAACAACCAAGTCAGAAGTGGTGAACATGGTAAAACTAAAGGCCAAAACGACAGTCATGCAAGTCGGAAATGGTAAATTGCCGTAAAAACTTATGGCTGAAACGTCTCGAAAGTTATAGAAAATGCAGAGTTCAGAGCTTCAAGTTAATCAATCACACCTAAGACTACTATAACAAAATCTCACACAGCACATTATTTCGGCTGTTTTTTACTGATTTGGCTGCCGGAGCAAGTGAACTCATACCAATGTTAACTGGTACCACTGTGAACTTGTACCACTGCTATCAAAACACAAGCTGATATGAGTCGTCTCAAAGCCACATTTCTCGCATCTTAATGCTATGTGATGGTGGGAACATTTTTATATTTATTATGTATATTACTAATAAACAATTCACATCAATGCCAGTGTCTAAAAAATCTACACTTACTCCAAAAGCAAAAGTGGCACATCATCAAGAAACTCTGCATTCAAATCTTGAAAGTATTTTTACTGTGCTTGAAACTGTTGATACAGCACTGGTTTCTATAGTTGGTATAGTATCAGACATCAAACATGCATGCTGTTGATGATTTTGACAACCTATCATCAAAAAGTGAAAACCAACTCAAGTCTCTCACAAAACAAATTAAAGAACAACTTAATACCATAGAAAGCAAAATTAAACACAACAATACATCTATAGAGTCTCTACATATTAAGTCTAATTCACTTGACAAACAAGTAAAAGATATAAGTGAAAATCAAATTAAAATTATGGACAAGGTAGATAATATACAAAAATCAGTTCAATCTCACAGAGACGAACATGAAGATTCGATGACGGAACTAAAAGAAAAATTTCATACATTTGAAACACAAAGTATAAAGGTACAAGATAAATCTCAAAAAACTAAGTCAAACATACAAGACGAGACTGAATTACTCAACAATATCTCAGACAAGCCGAAGGACATTAACAACAATGATCCAAGTACTAGTAGTTCTCAAATACACACAGGAGGTAATATAAAACCAGGAATAGACATAGACAATCTTATTCTTGGTGATTCCATAATTAGAAGAATACAAGCAAAGAGATTCAACCCCTATGAATCTACAGTTATAGACTATATAAATGGGGTGGGGCCAACAGTTGTGTAGAATATGTACAGGAAGCAGGTCATAAATTAAAACAAAAAAAGGTACTGGTGCACATAGGAGGAAGAGACCTTCGTGGAGATGGAGGTAAAGCGCACGAATTTAAAGCGTTATTTTCAGAAATGACCAGAATTTGGCCTAAATCTAAAATCTACTTTCTCCCCATACTAAAAAGGAAAGATATTCCATATGATCAAGTGCAGAAGGCAAATCAGACAATACTATCTGTCAGTCACGGCTTTAAAACTATTCAAACACTAGACCCATTCGTACCAGCAGACAATATGTACTTTGATAATGTGCACCTTAACACTACTAAAGGCATACCATCGCTTGTTAAATTTTTGAAAAAAGGTATGAATATTACATCCTCGAAAACTAATTCATCGCAACCGTACAAGTCAACCACAAGACATATGAATCAACCCAACCAAACTACAAGACGTAATGACCACCAATTTAACCAGTATTCAACACATGGGGATCACCCAGCAAACCAAAGATACAGACATTATAGTAACAACCAAGTTAACAATATTCAACACCAACCAGAGTTTTCACAATCACCACGGTTTCCGCAACCACAACCATTCAACATGAACACTAGTCAACAACGACCACCGTTTCCGCTAACTCCACCGTTTCCACAACCACAACCATTCAACATGAACACTAGTCAACAACGACCACCGTTTCCGCAAACAACCACATTTAACATGAACAATAACCTACACAGGACGCCATTTCCGCAAGCACCACCAGTCAACTTACCGCCTTTGCCATTTTATTCGTGGCCATGGGGCCCATTTAACCAACTAAGTAACCAAAATGGCTTTGCAAATTATCCGTAAACACATTTGTTATCTATCAGTATTAACTGGGTATCAAAAGCTATACATGTAAACTAACTTATCTATTATAGTTGAAAAACAAAGTGCTTTTTTTTTTTTTTCTTTTCAAATATATATAAAAATTAAGAACGTTTGTAGGAAAAAAATAAAGTAAAATGTTTTTCTATTTATTTTATGATAAATCAAAACAAATTTTTATGAAACCTTATTCTATGGTATATAATATAATCATATATGGAAAAAATAGATAATTTAATTCATTGTAGTTTTGAATTCATCAATTCCTTGACAAAGGATCATCCAAAAACAACTCCTATTTTGTCCTTTTAACTTATATTGGTAACAACCTAATTTAAATCCTTTAACTAAAATAATGCCAAAACTTAGTTCTACTGAATATAACCTGAACATTGGCATGTGGAATATTCAAGGTTTGAATTCAGAAAAAATTAGTGAACATGCATTTGTAAATTTTGTATCAAAAATGCATATTATTAGTCTTGTTGAAACTTGGAGTGACAGTGGTAAACCTGTTGATAAAGTAAACAGTTTTTGTAATAATTTTAAAGAATTACCCAAGGATAAAAAATATTTCTGGCTGTTCACAAATGAGCATTTACCAACTCTTATGTGCCTAGGCAATTATATATTTAAGTGTTTAGAAATAAGATCCAGGTGGATACAAAATATATAAAATAATATTTAATTATTATGAAATTATTGTTATAGTTATGTAAGACACATGATGTGTTAGGCTCTGATCCTGTCCATAATATGATAGTATTATATTAGGATCTATTTTTTCTTTTTTCCAATCAAATTGTGCTTAATATTGTTGTAAATGATGCCCTTTATGGGTTCTTGATTAGATTAATAAAATTCTTATCTTATTCTTAAAATTCTTATACCTGGATTTGATTTTATATGTAACTGTACCAGGAAAAAACATAAAAGAGCCAGACAAGATTCTGGTGGTATTGCTCTGTATGTCAGAAGTTCTATATATAAAGGTATATCCAAACTATCTTGTACTCATAATAATGCTGTATGGATTAAACTAGATAAACATTTTTTTAATCTAAAGAATGATATTTTTATTGCTACAGTATATTTTTCACCAGAATATTCTTCTGGTTGTACAGAAGATATAAATGAAGTTTATTCAAAGTTGCTTAGGAATATTGAGCACTATAGTCAACTCAGAGATATTTTAATTCAAGGTGATTTTAATGCCTATACTAATACTATTCCTGACTTTGTAATTTCTGATGAAGCAAAATTCCCCAAATCATATGACAATGAGTATTCAATTGACTCTCATAATTTAAAAAATAATCTTGATTCGAAATCTGCAAACAGGAGTGGAAAATTTTTAATTGATTTATGTAAAGAATCCGGACTCAGAATACTGAACGGAAGAATTATTGGAGACCCTATGGGCAAATGTACATGTATAACATATAATGGTTCCAGTCTTGTAGACTATACACGTATGTGTCTTCTAATATATTAGAATGCATTGGAAACTTTAAAGTTAATGATTTTACTACAATTTCAGATCATTGTCCCATCAGTTGCTCTTTACTTACTTGCTTTCAAAAATGTAAAAACACAGGGACAAAATTATATCCTCTCCCTGGTAAATTTATTTGGGATAACAAAGCAATTGGTTGCTATACTACAAACATTCAAAGTTCACATGTGAAACAAAGACTAGATGATTTTGTAAGTGATAGGCAGATCGATTCTAATATAGCTGTGGAAAAATTTAATGCTATATTATGTGTTACAGCTCTTTCATCCACTAAATTTGTTCAAAAGAAAATCATGAATAGGCCTATCAAGAAAAATAAAAAACCATGGTTCTCTGACTCTTGTCACGACCTTCATACTACAGTTATATTAAAAAGTACTGTTTTCTTGTAAATAAGTTTCCAGACAATGGATCCTATAGAAAATCATTTTACTCATTTAAATCTAAATTAAGAAGAAGGTGTAAACAAGAAGAAAGAAGTTACAAAAGTCAAATCTGTGACCAAATTTCACTAAATATGAAAAAAGACCCAAAGACATTTTGGAATTTAACAAATTAAATGCTCTATCAGAATTAAAAGAAGAAAACCATTTTGATCAAGAATTATTTATAAGCTACTTTAAAAAAAATGAACAGTACTTCTAATATCCAAAACAATAAATTCCATGACATAATTATTGAAAAGTCGAATGTCTTAAAAAAGACACTAAATACATGCAACTCTGACAACGAATTTAATCAACCAATTCAGCCAGTTGAAATTTTAAAGGCAGTTAAAACACTTAAAAATGGTAAATCATCAGCTGGGGACTTAATTTCTAATGAAATGATTAAATGCGGTATGCCAGTATTATTAGAACCCCTATCAAAACTTTTCAACCTAGTATTTATGAAAGGCAGCTTCCCAAAATTATGGAACAAAAGTCTGATCACATTAATCCATAAAAAGGGGAACAAATCTGACCCCTCTAATTATAGAGGTATCTCATTGACTTCTAATTTGGGAAAATTATTCAATAAAATTATACACACCAGACTTATGAAGTTCATTAACACCAATAATTTGATAAGTGAAAATCAAATTGGCTTCAAAGAAAAAGCTAGAACAGCAGATCACATCTTCTCAATAAAGTCAATTGTTGATAAATATTTATAAGACAAAAAAAAGAAAATTTTTGCAGCATTTATAGATCTACGAAAAGCCTTTGATACTGTCTGGAGGGAGGGTTTATTTTACATCCTACTCCAAAACAGACTTCCAGGCAAGCTTTTCAATTTCATTCAATCAATGTATAATGAAAACAAATGCATAATTAAATTTCAAAATGGTATTAGCCATGAATTTATATCAAATTGCGGAGTAAAACAAGGGGATGTACTTAGCCAAACTTTGTTTAATATTTATATAGATGGCCTTGTAAATGACCTTGATCATGCAAACACTCAACCATTTGTTATGGGAGATGTTAAACTAAAATCATTATTATATGCAGATGACATTATTCTATTGTCAGAAACCCAAGAAGGGCTACAAAATGCACTTAATGAGTTAACTAAATTTTGTTCCCTGTGGAAACTTGATGTAAGCAAACAAAAATCAAAAATTATAATATTCAATTCTAATGGGAAATCCCATTGTAATTATTTTAAAGTAGAAAACGAGCATCTTGAGACTGTTAAATCTTATTGTTACCTTGGAATAACAATAAATTATTCAGGTAATTTAAATCATTCAAAAAAAATTCTTATGGAAAAAGGAAGAAAGGCTTGATTTAAAATTAAAAAACAGTTTCTTTAGATAATTCTTGCAATATGCTTGAAAAATTATTTGATACTTTAGTTGTCCCAATCACTCTTTATGGAAGTGAAGTATGGGGTGTTAGCGAAGTGTTCAAAGATTCAGACCCATTTGAACATTTACATATAAAATTTATTAAAGAAATTTTAGGGGTACATTGCAAAACAACAAATGCAGCTTGTCTAGCTGAGACAAACAGAACCCCTTTGTACTTAAAAATTCAGCTTTCAGCTATAAAATTTCTAAACCACATTGTGAACTCACCTAATTCTTTAGTCTATAAAATATATAATAATGTAGAGAAAACAAGTAAATGGGTCAACATTGTAAAAGACTGGTTAAATAAATTAGGTTTTAGCCATCTTACTTTTGATACTATTAATTTAAAATATTACATAAATACTATCCAACAAAGAATCTTTGACCAGGCATATCAAATTATGAATTGTTCTATCCATAAATGTGAAAAATTAAATTTCATTTGTAAGACCAAAAAAAATTGGAAAAAGGCCCCCGTATATTGATATATGTAAATTCAAAACTGACAGATCAGTTTTCAGTAAATTTAAACTCAGTGCCCATTCCCTAGCAATTGAAAGGGGGCGTAATACCAACATCGAAAGAAGTAAACGCATTTGTTTATCCTGTAATAGACAAGAAATTGAGGATGAATACCATTTCTTCTCAGTCTGTCCATGCTATATATCATTGAGGGATACCTATATACAAAATATTAATAAAAATCTTAATTTCAAATTTATTAAATTGCAGTCGGCTATATAACACTGAGGCATATGACCGCACTTTTAAATAGCAGTCTGCCAGTCATTATAAAAATCACCATAAAGTATATTAATGATTGTTTTTTATTGAGAACATCTGTATAACTTATATTTCTTTTAATATGTATCCTAATTTTTGTTTTTGTTTTTTGTACATGAACATTAATTATGTGTTAACTGTCAAAACACACATATTTATAGTCTTTTATCCCCCCTGTGAATACCACTGTCAATCTAATATAATTATAGTCAATTTGATTATTGTCAGTTTATTGTCTCAATACTGTATGCCATAACCATTTAATGTTAATGTGTTTGTGCTAATAAATATTGTCTATTGTCTATTGTCTATTGTAACAGTTTGTGTATGTTATATCAGAGACATATAATATAATAATAAATTGTATGTTATATCAGAGACATATAATATAATAATAAATTATATGTTATATCAGAGACATATAATATAATAATAAATTATATGTCTCTGGTTATACATGTATGTTGATGAAATTGTGAAATGAATTTCCAGAGTTCATGTATCCATTTGAAAAAATGATAGTAAAATGTTATTGTCATGTCAAATGTTTACGCCCTTCGGGGTCCTTAATTGGAATAAAATATTCTTCTTCTTCTATTTGATGTTTTGTTTTTTTTATAAACATGTATTTTGATGAAATTGTGGTAAATAAAGCATCAAAATATAACTCATTCTTTGTTACGTTATCATGCCTACTAGTCAAGTTACAATAGACACTATACTAAAACATATCAAAACAAATTAACTCTTTGTTTTCTTCATCCAATCAGCCAAGGAACTGTCGAAACAAATTGGTTATTGTGACTTTGAAGTTATAGGCTTTTTACAGAATTATGATTTATTCAGTTAAATTTAGATATATATTCAACATTTAACACCGTTTGAGAGCAATGAATAAGTTGGTACGAGTTTGCAATGGTACAAATTTACTGTGGTACGAGTTTCTAGTGGAACGAGTTTGCTTTTAGTGGCATGAGATAACTGTAATTCTTGGCTGCCAACCTAATCTTTTCTATTTTGATTCAGAGTATAAGACATTTAACAATGTTTAAAAATTCAGAGTTCAGGGCCAGAACAACGATTTCCCGGGAACTCCCAAAAACTCAATATGAACCTAAGAACAGATAGATATTACTCAAAAACTTTACTGTACATGGACAAATACTGCTTTTAAAGATAATAAAGTATAAAATTTTTTAGATATATGTCATTTTTCTCATTGAAAGTACATCTTTATGGATTAGATTTATGTGTCTTTTATGCAAGTACTAATTCAATCTTGATTGTGGACTGCGTAAAGTATGCCCGTCCTTGTAAAGGGTACCTTTGAAATTTTAATTATTCCTAATTAGAATAAATAGCTTTATTGTTTAAAAATAGTTATCTACCTTTTGAATAATTGCATCCCACAGATTGTTTTACAAGGAATTTGCAAATGTACAAGACACACAAATTGAATTCCTGAAGTTAAAATGTACTTTTATTGAGTAAAAATGACTAATATCTCAAATTTATAGTCTTAATTTTCATTAAAAGCAGTATTACACCTTATCAAATCGAGTTTTCTATTATTATCTATCGGTTCTCATGTTCATATTGAGTTTTTGGGAGTTCCTCCAGAAATCTTTGTACCCCTTCAGGGCTGCTTTATCTGATATTACAACCTTACAACAAAACATGAAAATTATACTTTATAACAAGCTTTTCTTGATTAACCTTCATCAGAAACACTCAAAACCAAATTTTCAAAGCCAATGATGTATATGATGTACTGAATGATAAGGTCAACCTGATGTTGATTTCTCTGGCGCTAAATTTTCAGGAAATTAAAATGGACCAAGAATTATAGAAATGATTAAGAGATAATTATCAAATATTTATCCTTATTCTCTTTTCCAGATATTTGCTGAATAATGAACAAATGATTCAAAAAGTAAGTGCTAATTATTCTGATATACATATAGTGTTTATCATGATTTTTTTATTTCTTTTAGTTTCAACTTTATGTTGTTTATGTCTCCATTAAAATGAACTGTTTCATTCTTGGTTTCTGAAAGTTTGGATAGATGCACTAATTTAGACTTTGCCTTTTAAACATACAAATGTTTTATACACAAAGTTTTAATAGCGATTTTATGAAAATCCTACAAAGGAAGAGGTATTTTAAGAACCATTATTTGGCCCTTGAAATGCAAAAATTGTAAAAGTTTTTAAGCCTTTTAAAATCATGTTAATTTTATTCTACGCCACGCAACTTCCCACGCAACGAAGTCGTGTAGGGTATAATTTTTTTGACCTGTCCATCAGTCCTTTTCTTGTCCTCTGAAACCACACAACAGAATTTCATGAAAATTTGAAGATAATAAGGACATACTATGTAGATGTGTATACATGTATCAACAAAAAATTTTGATTCAATTTTTTTTCTTGAAGTTATGCCCTTTTGAATTTAGAATTTTGGCCATAATATACTACTGCAACAGTTTGACATGGCAACTCCTCTGAAATCACACAACAGAATTTCATGAAACTTGGTAGATAATTAGGACATACTATGTAGATGTGAATATCGATAGGAAATTATGATTCAATGTTTTTTTAAGAAGTTTTGCCCCTTTGAATTTAGAATTTTGGCCATAATATTCCACTGCAACAGTTTGTCTTTGCAACTCCTCCAAAACCACACAACAGAATTTCATGAAACTTTGTAGATAGTAAGAACATACTATGCAGATGTTCATATGACAGGAAATTATGATTCAATGTGTTTTCTAGGAGTTATGCCCCTTTGAACCTAGAATTTTAAGCTAAATATTCTTCTGCAACAGTTTGTCAGCGAAACTCCTCTGAAACCACACAACAGAAGTTCATGAAACTTTGTAGTTAATGGGGACATTATATGTAGATGTGCATATTAATTTTTATAGATTTTTTATCAGTTAACTTTTGCAGAGTAATGAGTCTTTGAACTTAGGAATCTGGTGAGACTTTGTGTGTACATGTATGGGCGTGTGGTATTTGATCGTGCTCACATAGGTTCTTTAATTGATAAATGAACAGGTTAAGTTTATCTGGACACTTTTGTTCACAAAAGTCACTTGTGATGTCACTATGATGTCATAAAAATGTGGAAATTTACGTATTTTACCAAAAATGGCAATTTCACCCTCGTCCTAGGTGGATAGTATTGGTGAAAATATATTTCAGCAACAGCTATAACCAAAATTTTCCACACATTCCCTTTTTTTGTTTATACATTTTGTAGCATAATATCTTTTTGGGTAAGGCTGTAGCTTATATCTAAATATTAATGACAAGCTCTCAAAAGTGACTATTTTTGCAGTTTTTACTGTATAGCAATAAATGTAGGAAGTTTGAGATCCTAGTGCTAATATGTGAGACAAAATTCGAAAATATTGACTTATGTCTGATGAACATCATGATGGATGTTATTTGCAGGACTTGGTTGATTGATAATACTTCTCAATTTTTAAATTCAAGTGGCCATAAAAAGATGCCTTATCATACCTTCTCCCACACATACATTGATAATTTGATAGTCTAGACAGAAATTGTGATATTATAAGACAAATTATCCAACCATTTGACAATAAATTTAGAATTCATGACACTTGAAAGATTCATTTAACATGTTTAACAATAAAATAGATACCAGGCATGTATTTGAAAAGTTTTTTGATATAATGTAATTGTTTATGATGACTGACAAATATATATACCGTACATGTAGCAACAATTTTATTTCCTAAAAAGTGGGAATTACAATAACTTTATGCTCAATCTTTTTTATCAGTTAGCTGATAGCAAGCCAGTAAGAAGAGCAGCCCAACTTACAGTGTTTGTAAGTCAGAAAGCAAAGGAATCAGGTATTATTATAATTTAATTTAATTTTATGCCAGATAAGGATTTCAGTTATCCCTCCATACATGACATATTGGAAGTTATGGACGGTAAATTAGAAAATCTTGAAAATGTTTGACACCTTAAAATATACCTTATCAGTGTCTTATTTGCATTGTACTTCCTGTGTACCTGTAGGAAATAATTTCCATTACTTCATAGGTGTTTATTCCTCGTATGATGAATTCATAAAGTAGATAATTATGTATTTTCAATAGTAAAGGTATTTGATGTGTATTTACATGTAGGTACCACATAGCTTTACACAGTTATAGTTGCTTTTTTTTATTGCTTCTTATATATTTCTTTAGATTTATTGTCTTGCTACGATATAATTGAAAAAACCTAAATAGGGGTTTGTTGTTTCTGGCGGCAGCAGCATCCGCATCAAAAATGTATTAGCTTGTGATTAGGTCAGTTTATGGGAAACCACTAGTGGTAGGTCAATGATATTTGATATGCAGGTGAACTAGCAGTGGCACATGTCATTTCCATGGAGATTATTTGGCCCTGCCCACTCAGTCATGGTCTATTGACTTTGAAACTTATGCTTAGTTTACATGTATTAGTCTGTAATTTGATCAGTTTGAGGGGAACCATTAGTGGTAGGTCAATGCTATTTGGTATGCAGATGTATTAGCATTTGAACATCTCATTTCTATGGGTATTATTAGGCTCCGCCCCCTCAGTCATGGTCCATTGACTTTGAATGTTTGGCATAGTTTGCATGTGAAAGTTTGTGATTAGATCAACAATACAGCAGGTGTCTACATTTCATTTTGCACACCTGCCTCTTTTGGTTAGTGTGAGCTATTGCCGTTACTTTACATAGATGTTAGCTGAATATTTAGCATCATAAACCCTTTTTTTAAATAGAGACCATAGACTAGATATAATGAAGGAAGTAACATTTTGGGGCTTATTTTGCCATAAGAATTAATCAAGAATAAAAACAGTAGAAAGTCTTGTAACATGTGTAACAACAACATTGTATTTGTACAGTTCAGTCCTCTATAGGTAGTATAGTAGCATTGCACATACACTCTTTATTGCTGGAAGTTTAAATATGTAGACTTTTATAATTGTTTATTATACCCCTATTGCAATGAAGGAAATACTGATTCACCCCTGTCTGTATGTCTGTCCGTCCCATGAAATTTCCGTCTGAATTTTGATATCAGGCTTTATGTGAGCGTGCTTTACTGTGAAAAGTACTAGTGTATAAAGATACATCCCTTCTGAACTTCCTGTGTACCGATTACTTAAAATTTTATAATACATACTGACCATGAACGAAATTTTCATAACCTTTTCTTGGGAGCTACAAATAAGAACATCCTAAAATTTGTTCTAAGGCTACATGTGAACATGGTATACTGTTTGGTGCCTTTTCAGATTCACAGCTGATCAACTTCCTGTTTACCCAATACTTAATTATATGTTTTAATATATATAATGACCCTGTATGAAATTTTTGTCACATTTTTCTAGGGAACTACATATAAGAGCTTCCCTGAAATTTGTCATCTGACTTCATATGAACATAGTTTGTAAACATTGTGCAATGCTTCCTCAGATTTATCTCTCATCAGCTTCCTGTTTACGGAATACTTTCCAACACATAATGGCCATGTATGAAATGTTGTCACATTTTTTAATGGAACTACAATTAAGAGCATGTTTGAAAATTGTTATCAAGCTTCATGCGAACATGCTATACCATGTGGTGCATTTTCATATCCATTACTATTCAACTTCCTGTTTACAGAATACTTGAAAAGAGGAGTTTCATAAGGGAGCAATAGCTCACTGCTCTAATTGTTTTTCATTTTGACCATCTGTGTCTATTTTTACGCTGCCTGAAAAATTTAGTGATCATATAGTCATTGCCTTTTCTATCTGTTTGTCCTTTGATTTCTGTCAATCTGTCTATCTTTTTATCTGCCCCTCTCATGTGCATCCGAAACAAATGGTTTCTTTAGTTTCTCTTGCTTGATTGAAAAGAAAATTATACATTTGAAAGACATAGGAAAGTCTTGATTTCAAAATCAATAGGTCAAAGTTCAAGGTCACTGTTACAATTTTCTGGAGGTAATTCAAGTTTCCTTTGCTTGATTTGAATGAAGATTTAGGAAATGGGGAAATTCCAATTAATTTTGGAGACAAGACAGAGTTCAATTTCACTATTACAAAAAAATGAAACATTTGGGGAAAAAAGTTTCCAGATGCTACATAATTTTTTGTTATGCTTAATTGGAATGAAACTTATCACTATCCAAATGGCAGATATTAGAAAGAGTATGATACCTATCCATTTTGGAGTCAGTAGAACAAGGGTACTGTTACCAAAATAAAAACCTCGTAAAAATCTTCTTTTTTATTGCTAGAAACATTGTTGGCAATGTGTCTCTACAAATTGTGGGTTAGCTAGGGTCAATGGAGCCCTTGAAAATTTGTTGAAAGTGGATGCCCCAAAAAGAGTTGATCTGTGAATTGGAGCTCTGGAGAAAGCATTGGTAACACTTTTGGTTTCTAGATAGCTGATTGTATGTGTCTTTCAGGGAGCATCTGTTGTTTCTTTAAAAACTGTTAACCATTTAATAAAATAAGTTATAGTCATATCTTTTTACTTCATAATTTCTTTTTCACTTATGTTTTGTATTTTCAACATCATCAACAACAACAACAACAACAATACTTTATTTTAAGAGGGTTACACAGTTAGCTATATAACTAATCTTCCCTGAGGCCCTCATCATTAAAATCAGACAAAATGCCTTCGGCTGTTGTCTGCTCTATGGTCGGGTTGTTGTCTCTTTGACACATTCCCCATTTCCATTCTCAATTTTAAAATGCCAACATATACATTGCATGCATTAGTATAAAAAGACAAGTATGATAATAATGTTCAATACAACTTGATAAAATGTTATAAAAAAATAAACGTGATGACATAATTAGTTTTCAATATTTTTTATGTTTTAATTGTGTGTGTATTTTTTACAGGGTTTGACAGTGTGAGTAAATTTTCAGAGGGATTTAAACAAGGCGAGACAAAAGCATCAAAACCAGTTAGAAGAAGGAAATGATAACAGCTTTGAGAATAATGCTGTATGGACATATTGCATTTGCTAAAGACATAAACTCCATTAAATAATTTATATCCTCAGAGCCCAACATCCCTTTTGAACACAATTATTTTATACAATGTACTTTTAATGATGATCATGATGCCAAACTATGACTATTTATTTTAGCATTATTTCTGTTGAACTGTGATTTTCAATAAAGGTATTGATGGAGTGTATATATTTATGCAAAGGCCATGTTTGCCATTGCCATCACTTGGTATCTGTCCTGTATTTTTACAAAGGCCATTTTATTAGAGCCCTGTCAACTACATGTAGTTGGAGTTTGCCTTATAGTAATCACTCTGACCATCAGTTTGTCTGTCTGTCAGCACTGCTATGTTGTATGATAAGTCAAGATTGTCTCAGCCGATTTTCAAAAGGTCTCTTTTTTTGTTAAATTTGAAGAAAAAAAATTGTGGTAAAAATCTTTTCAAAAATCTCAAATTTTGAGAAACATCTTTGTGCTAGAATTTCAACAAAAATTGATAAATAAGTTATGATGTACTAATCAAAATTGATTCCCTATGGCAATCTAATTTTGGTTATAACTTTGGAATAAAACTTGCTGTATAAATTTGTTTTGTTCAAAATTTACAAATTTTGAAATATATCTTTTTGTGTTAGGATTTCAACAAAAACTGAAATATAGCATTATTATGCATTACTAATTGTAGCCTTGTGTCAAAATTATGGTAAAAACTTAGTATTTGTTTATAAAATTATAATAAATTATGAGAAACATCTGTTTTGCTAGGATTTTAATGAAAATAGATTTATAGGTATAATTTGCTATTCCAAAATAATACCCTGTGTCAAAAATTGTTGGTTGCCCACCATTAACAAAAAATGCCAACAAAAATAATAAGTTTTTGAATTTAACCCAAACTCATATGTATCAAGAATGCATCCTGAATTGATTGCTTGTCAAAAATTTATGAAAATTGACAACCCATGAACATGAATTGCTTTGTATGCATCAGTCTCTGTGCTTCACACAAAAAGTACAAGCGGGCCCCTTGCTGACATGTCTGTTTTCTAGTCTACTGCAATCACCTGATGTCTGCTCTGTATTTGTACTAAGGCCATGTTATATAATGCTATCATATGGTATCTGTCCTGTATCTGAACAAATGCCATTTAGCCTATTGCTATCACTTGGTGTCTGACCTGTATTGGTACAAAGGCCATGTTATGTAATGTTATCATATAATTAGTACTAAATACAGACATTTTGTATATCTAATAAAGGCTCTTTTCTCCAGTCTGTATCATCTACCCTGTATTGCATACCTGTATCGCATAGCTAAATACATATTGCATACCCCATATCACACCCCTTTTGAAACATCTCGAGACTGTTTTCGGAATTCCTCAGTTGTTATCCACTTTGAAATTTCAGAAGACGACAATGTGTTGGATATGTTAACCCTCTTGCTGCCGGAGGGACACATGTGCTCATATATTTAATTTATCATTACCGCATCTCTTTCAAATAAAACACCGAAGAATATATAGAGTAAAATCTTTTTCTTCAAAAGGTCTCCAATATAATGTCATCAGGGTGTGACGTCATATATCAAATGACGTCAACGTTGGACATATGACGTCCAGTTGCTGTATTTGAATGAAACCAGATTTAATTAGCGACAAAAAGAGGTTTACCGGTAATCCATAGTCCAGGAACAGTTAGGAATGGGAGAAAAACAGAATTTACTTTAGCCATGCCTGAAATTTTGTTTATATCAGACGTCGTTTTTCTGATTGTGTTTGTATAATTTAAAGCAATCATATCTGAGAGTGAAAAATGTTTTTTTTTCCTCTCATTTCCTCTGTCATGGACTGTGAATGGGCATAACATGAACAAATTCTAGACAATTTGGCACCGAGACCAATAGGCGCCAGGACAATTTGACAACTGTGAAAAACATTTCAGCACTCAAGAAAGACAGTTCTGTATCAAGACAAATCAGCCTGAATGCAAATGTGGATATGTTGTAGTACTGGTCCAAGAGTGCAACTTAAAAAGTCGGCCCTGGGTCTGCCTACTGTGTGATGTCAAATCTATATTGGATGCTATATCAATCTTAAACCAATATAATTTTGGGAAGAAGACTTTAATTTGGAAAAACTGAAGTCCTCTGTTTAAATATATGATCAAGTGATTAATACATAGTAAAATCTGTATCACATGCTGTATCATCCACGACCAATATCAGCCCTCGGGCCTAATACTATGTATTCTCTCTCGGACTGAATACTATGTATTCTCTATCTACAATTGGTATTCGTCCTGTATTTAAACAGAGGCAATTTAACCTATTGCTGTCACTTGGTGTCTGACCTGTTGTGCAAAAGCCTTAATACAAATTTCAATCACTTGGTTTTGGACCTGTAATTGAACAAATGTCTGTTACCTATTGCTTCCACTAATTATATAACCTGTATTTGTACTAAGGTCATGTTATCTATTGCTGTCACTTTGTATCAGTCCTGTATATGTTCAAATGTCAAGAAACTGTTGCTATCACTTGATGTACATCTTGTTACTTGTATTTGTAAAAAGGCCTAGTTACCTATTATTGTTATCACCTGGTGTCTGACCTGTTTCTTGGTGTCTGTTTTCGTTGTTTGATGTCGTAATAAACTTTTTCAAAGATCTCCTCTGAAACCACTGAACCAATTTTAACCAAACTCTGTATATTATTTTGTATAAAGTTTGTGTTTTTTATTCCAGTCAGTCAACAAACATAGCGGCCATGGCTAAAAAAAAAACAAAGGGGTAAAATGCAGTTCTTAGCTTATATCTCAAAAACTAAAGCAAAACTGACTTGGGGAGGGGGGACAATGATCAGCAGGTCAAGATCTATTTGCTAGAAAAAAAATTCAGACAAATCAGACAATCTAATTGGAATTATTGTCCCTGAAATAATAATTTTTATGAAACTTCTCAGTTTTTAGACGACCTGGCCCAAAGGGCCATGTGAGCTATTGCCATCACATGTTATCCGTCGTTGTCTACATAAACTTTTTCAAAGATCTTCTATGAAACAACTTAAAGCAAGGAATTATTTGAATCTGGAATAACTTTGAATTCTGGAAAATTGATAAGAAATGTATGATGAAAACTAACCCAACTTTATTGGAATAGCCATGAGGGCATGGCTAAGGTTCAAGTTACAAAAAAATGTACTTTGACTGATATTTAAGTATGAACTAACTAAGCCCCCTTAGCCATGCATGCATGGCTAACCCTCAATTGGGTTAGTTTTCATCAATTTTTTCTCATCAATTTTCTAGAATTCAAAATTATTCCATATTCAGTAAATTCCTTGTTTAAACCAATTTCAACCAAACTTTGGGCAAATGATCCTTATGGTTTAAAGTTTGTATTTTTTATTCCGGTCAGTCAACAAAGATTTTTAGGAAATTTCTCAGTTTTTGGTTGTCATCTTGAAAACTATTACAAATAAAAATAAATTTTAAACAGCAAAAATGTTCAGCAAAGTAAGTCTAATTAGTCTAAGAACAGCGTTAATCAATTCATCCCTTATAGGAGTTATTGCCCTTGAAAGACTCATTTTTATTAAATTATTTAGGTTTTTTTTAAGAAACTATGACATGTATGATAGATAGACAGAAACTTCAAACAGCAAAAATGGTCAGAAAAGTAAGACCTACACATAAAACAAAAAGTACTAAAATTGTCAATTGATCCCTCATAGGAGTTATTGCCCTTCAAAGATGATTTTTACCATTTTTTTAGTTTTTCGCAAAACTATGATAGACAGACAGAATCTTTTAAAGCCATGTTTAAACACATATCAATATAGGTTGAACAGCGAAATGATCATTGATGCAATCATGCTAGATCTCGCAAAATAAATTCCAGTTGACTTATTTTGGCTCTTAGGAGCCTCTTGTTGGTTATTATCTTGAAAAAAAAAATGTTCAGCAAAGTAAGATCTACATCCATGGATCGAATTTGTCAATTGATTCCTTATAGGAGTTATTGTCCTTGAAATAAGATTGAGAATGGAAATGGGGAATGTGTCAAAGAGACAACAACCCGACCATAGAGCAGACAACAGCCGAAGGCCACCAATGGGTCTTCAATGCAGCGAGAAACTCCCGCACCCGGAGGCGTCCTTCAGCTGGCCCCTAAACAAATATGTATACTAGTTCAGTGATAATGGACGTCATACTAAACTCCAAATTATACACAAGAAACTAAAATTAAAAATGATACACGACTAACAAACTGGCCAGAGGCTCCTGACTTGGGACAGGCGCAAAAATGCGGCGGGGTTAAACATGTTTTTTGAGATCTCAACCCTCCCCTTATACCTCTAGCCAATGTAGAAAAAACAAACGTACAACAGTACGCACAGTAAAACTCAGTTTAAGAGAAGTCCGAGTCCGATGTCAGAATAGGAAACAAAAGAAAATAAACAAAATGACAATAATACATAAATAACAACAGACTACTAGCAGTTACTGACATGCCAGCTCCAGACCTCAATTAAACTGATTGAAATATTATGTCTTCATCATATGAATATCAGGCACAATCCCTCCTGTTAGGGGTTTAGTATTATACCGTCATAAAATATATGAGAAGAACATAACCCGTGTCATGCCAACAACTGGTTTTAGAATAAATATGTTTAATTCCGATGCAAAGACCCTATAAGTGAATCAATATTAAAGCCAAAATATGCAATTTTTAATGACCTGACAACAGTATCGTAACTATATCCCTTCTTAATAAGTCTGTTTAAAGGTTTTGTTAGCTTTTGAGGTGAATACTGACATTTTTGTGCTTTGTAAAGAATATTACCATAAAAGATTGGATGTGAAATACCCGAACGTATAAGATGTCTGCATGTTGAGTTATATTTACGGATGATGTCCTTATACCGATGATAAAATTTAGTAAATGTTTTGACTAGTTTATGATATCGAAAACCCTCTTGTAATAATTTTTCAGTAATATATAAATATCTCTCGCTAAAATCTAATACGTTGTTACATACACGAGCGAATCGTACAAGTTGAAATATATAAACACCATAAGATGGTGACAAGGGAACATCACCATCTAAAAATGGATAATTAACGATAGGTAATGAAAAATCATCTCTTTTATCATAAATTTTTGTATTAAGCTGCCCG